GTCATTGACTGCTTATGGGGAAGTGGGGACCAGGTGCCATGATTCTCCCCACTCAGAGCTGAGGCTGATGGCTGTGTCAGCTAGGGTGGGAGGCCCAGGAGTCAGCCCTGGAGCTGTGAAGTCCATCTAGGCACTGGGGGTGGGAGGGGCAGTGCTGAGAGCACCTCTGGCTCTGATGGGCACTGAGGTGGAAGAGTGTGTGCAGGGGAGCTTAGGGTCATTGTCTTCAGGTGGCCTCCCAGCAGTCAGTTTTTTCTGTCCCGGCAGATGTGATTTTCTCCACCGAAGTGCCAGGGAATGAGACACAGCTTACGCTGAACTCACTTCTGCCCAACAAGGTGTATCGAGTACGGATTTCAGCCGGCACGGGGGCTGGCTATGGGGCGCCCTCCCAGTGGATGCAGCACAGGACACCCAGTATGCACAACCAGAGCCACGGTACGGGCTCAGAGGGGACAGGACCAGGAGGTGTGCGTGACTGTGTGGATGTATGTGTGACCTTGGAACCCAGACCCAATCACCCCCTCCATCAGAGACCTGCCATGGCTCCCTCTGTTTGACAGGTCAGGGAGGATGGGTGTAGAGGTGACTGGCCTTTGTAGACACATCTGGGCTCAAGTGCCCCTTCTGCTGTGTGACTCCTACAAACCATTCACAGCTCTAAGGCTTCATTTACTTGTAAGCTGAGTTGTGAGGATTGACAATGAATGTATTGCAAACAAAGTGTTTAGTAACACAATAGCTGTTAAATAGCAGCTGCTTTCATGATTATGATTGTTGTTGTTTTGTTGAAAGCCCAATAGTAGAGTGATTAAATGCAGACAAAACCTGGTGCATATACTGTCTGTGTGACCTTGGGCAAGTTACTTAGCTTCTCTGAGCCTCAGTTTCTTACTTGTAAAACGGGGATAACGGTATTTTCCTTACTTTATAGGGTTGTGAGAATGAAGTTAAAATATATGCAAAAAGTGCTTAGAACAGTGTCTAACACATAGTAAGTCCCCCACATTTAGGCTCCAAGTAGGGTCCAGTGGCTCCACCCCTCCTTCCTGGCTTCAGCAACCCTTGTGGCCTTCTTGTCTTGCCAATATCCATGCGTTCATTCCTTCAGAAAACTTACAGATCCTGCACTGTGCCGGGGACTGTCAGCCCTGCCACAGAGGTGCCCCTTGTTGCCCTCTGTGCAGATGCCCAGGAGACATCCCTCCCTTCTCAGCACTCTGGGCTTGTGGAATAGTGGGTTCACCTCTCCACCAGCCCTGGCCTGGCACTTAGTGTGGTGGTTGAGTGGTGATCATTGGGAGAAGGCTGGCAAGGCTCTCGCTCAGTGCCACCTTCCTGCTTTTTGCTTCCTCCTGCCTCCCCCCTCTCCCACCCGTGACCTCCTCCACACTCCCCATTCACTTTCTCCTCCCTCCTCTCATCCTGCTCCCCAGTCCCTTTTGCCCCTGCAGAGTTGAAGGTCCGGGCAAGGATGGAGTCCCTGGTTGTGTCCTGGCAGCCGCCCCCTCACCCCGCCCAGATCTCTGGCTACAAACTGTACTGGCGGGAGGTCGGGGCCGAGGAGGAGGCTGATGGTGAGAGTCCCCCAGGGGGCCGTGGAGACCAGGCTTGGGATGTGGGGCCTGTCCGGCTCAAGAAGAAAGTGAAGCAGTATGAGCTGACCCAGCTAGGTGAGGAGGGCTGGGGGTGGGGGAGGGAGATAGACATAGCTTCAGTGGGGGACTGGAGAAGCTGGGTGCAGGAGTTGGAGATGGAACCTTACTGGGGAGGAGAGAGTGACCCCACAGGTTCCTCTAGCTAGTGAGTGACCCCGTGACCTTCCTCAGTCCCTGGCCAGCTGTACGAGGTGAAGCTTGTGGCATTCAACAAACATGAGGACGGCTACGCAGCAGTGTGGAAGGGCAAGACGGAGAAGGCTCCCACGCCAGGTGAGGGGGCTCAGGCGAGGGTCTGTATACAGCTTCCTTTCCCTTTCCTCTGGGCCAGCCTTGGTGGCCAGGCTGTCTGGTAGCCGCAGCCACCACCAAACCCATTCTCCTAGGCTCAGGAGTCCTCTTCGAGATCCAGACAGCCTCTGTCATAGAAAGAAGCTCCAGCTTGTACGCTGTCTTCTAGGTCTGCTACCGAATTTTCATTGTCTATGAGCAGTGCTAATTTGGAAGGTTTGGACAGAGAAACCCCATGGCTGATCAGCGACTCCTGACCCCAAGTTTGACCTTTACATGACTTTTAAAACACGTCCACCTGTATCACACGATCTATCAGATTATCTCTCCATTCTAGGCAGGGAGACCATCCTTATGTGGCCCATCAGGAAACTGAGGCTCAGAGATCAGAGAGGTAAAGGGACTCGTCCAAGGTCACAACAGCCTAGACCCCTGGAACCAAGACCCCTGGCTCCCAGGCAGAAGTCTTTCCATTGCAGTGCACTGCCCGTGTCCCTGTAGTGGACATCTCTGTTGCCCATCTTGACATTCCCTCACCCCTAACTTCCCATGCTGATTTTTAACCATGTGGTTTAGTGGAAGGAGCACTCAACTAGGGCCAAGAAACCTGGGTTCTAATTCCAAATATTTTACTGAGTGTCTACTATGTGCCAGCTCTGTTCTGGGAATTTAGTGGTAAACAACACAAGTAAGGGGCCTGCTCTCATGAAGTTCATTTTCTTTTATGATTATGTAATGAACACATCATTCATATAATATAGTGCTTGCTATATATGTCTTAGTTTAGGCTGTTATAACAAAAATATCACAGACTTAAGGAACTAACACTTCCCATAGTTTTGGAGGCTGGGAAATCTAAGATCAAGGCACTGACACAGTCAGTTTCTGGTGAGAGCCCACTTCTCACTGTGGCTGAAGAGCTCTCTGGGGTCTCTTCTATAAGGACACTGTTGTGGACTGAAAGTTTGCGTCCCCCCAAAATTCATATGTTGAAACTCTACCCTCCAATGGGATGTATTGGGAGGGAATTAGGAATTGGATATAGTCTTGAGCGTGGAGCCCTCGTGAACGGGATTAGTGTCCTTGTAAGAGTCACAGGAGAGCTTGCTTCCTTTCGCTACTCTTCACCATGTGACTATCCAATGAGTGGTTAGTCTGCAACCTGGAGGATGGCTCTCAACAGAGCTTTACAACTCTGGTGCCCTGATCTCAGACCCCAGCCTCTAGAACTGTGAGAAGTAAATTCCTGTTGTTTATAAGCCACCCAATCTATGGTACTTTGTTATGGCAGTTCAAATTTCAACATGAATTTGGGATGGAGGGGACACAAACATTCAGTCCATGGCAATATGCCAGATACTATAAAAAGGAATTAAGTGCCGATATATCATGCAACAGGGAGGAACCTTAACATTATAATAAGTGAAAGAAGCCAGACACAAAAAAACCCACATATTGTATGATTCCATTGATATGAAATATCCAGAATAGGCAAATCCATAGAGACATAAAGTAGATCTGTGGCTGCCAGGGGCTGGAGGAAAGGTGAAATGGGGGGTTATGAATAGAAGGAACAGAGTTTCTTTTCAGGGTGATAAAAATGTTATGGAATTAAATAATATGGATGGCTGCACAACCTTATGAATATACTAAAAACCACTATAGTATACATTTTTAAACTGAATTTTATGGTATGTGAATTATATCTCAAAAATAAAACAGAAAAACAATATGCCAAGTACTTTTCTATATACTTTGCAAATATTAGCTAAGTTAATCATCATAACAATACTATAAGGTAGATATACTATTGTAAGCCCCACTGACAGAATAGGGAATGGAGACAGAGAGGTTAAGTAACTTCTCCAAGGTCACACAGCTAGTAAGTGGCAGAACTGAAATTTGAACCAGGGCAACCTGGCTCTAGAATCTGTGCTCTTAATTGCCATGACTCACTGCCTCTCTCTTTTATGGTTTGTTTTATATATGACCTTTGCAAAGAAAAAAATCCCTTAAATTCTTGGGAGCATCATTTTCCTCATCTGTGAAGTGGGAATGATGCTACCCAACTCACAGGATCAAAAGAGAAAGAGTAGAAGAAAATCACTGTAAACTGAGGACTGTAAAGCACCGAATATTTTTAGAATTAATGTCCTTCCCCCCTTCCCCACACTTGAATTTTCACCTTTCACCTTCCAGACTTGCCCATCCAGAGGGGGCCACCCCTACCCCCCGCTCATGTCCATGCGGAGTCAAACAGCTCCACATCCATTTGGCTTCGATGGAAAAAGCCAGACTTCACCACAGTCAAGATTGTCAACTACACTGTACGATTCAGCCCCTGGGGGCTCAGGAATGCCTCCCTGGTCACCTATTACACCAGGTGGGAAAGAGGAGCTAACACTATAAA